AGGAGAGAGAGAGAGGTGGGGATATGACATTCACTCTGTGTGTGTGAGAGAGAAAGAGACTGAAAAATAGCTATCTCACTAAAATCATTAGGCATATGCATTAACTAATTTCTGCTCTTTCCTTTCCCCTCCTTTTTTTTCTTTTTTTTTTTTATAGCATCAAATCAAAACACTTCATTTTAGTAAATATGCAAATCCTCAGCTCATTCCAGCAAATATCTCAAAACAAAACCAGTCATAAATAATCAACCAAACCACTCATTTCCCAAAACCCAAATCTTTCATAATAAAATGAAAAGAACCAACAATTGAAAGCTTGATCTGAACATTAACCTGTATAATGGATTGGAAAAATAATCCCAAACAAATATATATATGAAACAAACAACCCACAAAATTGACAAAAAATAACACAGCCAATATTGGTAAAAAGTAAAAGAAACTCATCAAAGGATAGGGATCTCATTACACACTATGTCTAAACAATCATTCTGAGATACAAAACTAAACAGTGAAGAATAAAACGGTACTAAAACAAACACCCAAGTAAGGTTTCAAGGACCAGTAATTTTTTTGCTAAGCTTTCCTTCTATCTCTGCCAACCAACTGTTGAACACCAATAAAATAAAGGCACCATTACCTTAGCGGGTTGCCCTGGTTAAACCCGAAGCTCGAATTCACGATCATGGCTACCCAGAAAGCAATGAAGATGATCAGGAACACCAAATCCCTGCATTTCCTATTATGCCTTATGATACCACCAAGCTGGGGATCACCATTAGAGTGAGCTCCAGCTGTAGGATACCTCCCTATTATTGCCCCTAAAGGACCCCCCATTTTACCCTAAAGGCTCACTGATTCGGTGCAATTCCAACCCTAAAGCTCAAAGGAAAGTTAGAGAGAGAAGAGAGAGAGAGAGAGAAAGGGTGCAGTGTAACTGAAAGCACTATAGCGTGAACACCTTGAACTCAAGAATTATCTCCCTGAAGGGAGCCATGGCACCCCGCTTATAGCATCGGACATCTAGAGAGAGAAAGCGCCTACTATTACTCCTAGCAATGGGGCTTTAAGGCAGGTTTTGAAGCTTCAGGGGAGTGAAAGGTCCCAACACAGCACTAAAGAGAGAGAAAATGATGCTACTGTAACTGATAGCTGTGGTTTCACAATGAGAAGAATGAAAGTCCTTGAAATCAAGAAATGCCTGCAAAAAATTGCAGCTTAAGGATCCACAAATCTGCCCAGGACATGGAGATAGAGAGAGAGAGAGAGATTGGCAGGTAGCTCCCTTATAGATTAAGGGAGATTTAGAGAGAGAAAGTGAGGGGTGTTAGTGAGAGATCAAGAGTGTAGGTGGGGTTTAAATAAGAGAGATAAGGTAAGTTATGGATGGAGAATTTAGAGAGAGAAAGTTCATCTGCCCTAGAGAGGCAGTTGGCTCCCTTGCAGGTTAAGAGACAGTTAGAGAGAGTAAGTGTGCAGTGTTTGATAGATAGAGAGAGAGAGGGTTTAAGGTGGGGTTTCAGTAAGAGAGAGAAAATAAGTTTCAGACAGGACCACTTTTAGAAAGAAAAAGGTCGACTTAGAGAGAGAAAGGAGAGATATATTTAGTGAGAGAAAGAGACAAAGTGATTAAAAATAGTGGAACTGTCGCTGCCCATGCTTTCCGGCTTTCGATGGAAGAATCAATGTGTCCGAAAAATTACTACAACACCCTAGGACATTTACTATTTCTCAATACTATCCTCACTAACGCCAACTCGCCCTGATTTTAAGTTGCAAAAAGTTTATATACGGGCAAGGCCCTAAACAATTAAATTAAGGTGCAATCAAAAATTCGTTAGAAAAAGTTATTTCGATGCTAAAAAAATCCTCAAATCGATCATCTACACCTCATGATGTATGGACATGCGAAAAAAATGGATTTTCGATATTAAAAATAGTCTATCTTGTATTATATTTTTAGACCGTCAATTTTTAATATTTTTTTAAGTGTTCATAGATCTACTTGATCTACACTATTTTTTTTAAAGAAATGTTTATATAGAGTCGAGGCTCTAAACAATCAAATTCGACCTTACCTCAAAAATTTCACTAGAAAATGTCTTTTTGATTTACAAATATCCTCACATTCATCATCTCGACATCAAGATGAGTGGACATAAGAAAAAAATAGATTTCAAGTTTTGAAAATAGTGTATTTTATAACACACTTTTAGACCGTCCATTTTCAAGATTTTTAAGTTTTCATAGATCTCTCGATCTACACTTTTGAATATTTAAACTTTATAAATAAAAATGAAAATATATTTTAAAGCTATCAAAAAGATTTCCAGTTTTGAAACCATATTTCTAGACACTAATTGAAAATAGGCTCTAATTTGATTGTTTAGAGCATAGGCTCTATACAAACCACATCCACTTTTTTAAGCTTTAAATTTTATAATCAGAAATAAAAATAAAGTTTCAAACCACACAAAGATTTCAAGCACTGAAAAATATATTCCCACATTATTTAATGATGTGCCTTATGTTAATTATCTGGGGCCTCGGCCCTATACAACCCACACCCTTATGTGAATCATATAAAAATAAAGCTTTACTTGCAAACCTCATTTTTAAAATATTTTAGGCATGGAAAATCTCTCAAATGGCTCTAAAATCAAGGTCTACCATCGAGATTTGTAGCTCAATAAATAATACAGATGTTGTAGATTTGTGAAACTTAAAAATGTTTGTCCAAGTAATTTACTACAATTGCATTATTTTTAGGGCTCAGAATTCTAATTTATTTCACAACCACAATGGTTAAGGTCGAGTTGATTGGTTTGAAGGTTTTTTTGACACCAGACCTACAATTTTCCCAAGTGCACCTTTCCCTTTTGCAAGGACCTAGTTTCTATGCGGCCAAGCCCGCATACATAGAAATGTGGGCTTCTTAATAAATCTATTTTTAGATGGATTTTAAGATTCAATTTTTAAAGACATATAATATCTAACATGGAGATCATGAATATGAATAAATAAATAAATTTTAAAAACGAAAAATGACAATTTTAGAAATAAAACATTTGGACCGTTAGTTTCTATTGTTTTTAGATGAACTGCCTATTTGCATCCATCTTTAAGATGTATGCTTTACACTTTTTGGATCGCATATGTAGAAATGCAGTCCAACCCGCATGAAACAATTTTCCTTTTTTTCAATAGGGGTGTTGTTTGTATATAGCCTAGGCTCTAAACAATCATTTTAGAGCCTACCTTCAAATATAGTGTCGAGAAATGTGGTTTCAATACTGGAAATATTTGTGATAGCCTTAAAATATATTTTTATATTTATTTATAAAGTTTAAAGCTTAAAAAATAGTGTAGATAGACAGATCTATGAAAACTTGAAAATCTTGAAAATTGACGGTAAAAAAATACATTACAAAATATATTATTTCCAAAACTTGAAATCTATTTTTTTCTCATGTCCATGCATCTTGATATCAAGATGATTAATTCAAGGATATTTGGGCATCAAGACAACCTCTTTTAGTGAAATTTTGGAGGTAGGTTTTTATTTGATTGTTTAAAGCATCGGCTCCATATAAACTTTTTCATTTTCAAAAAGGCATTTCCCTTTAAGTTTTATTCTTATATTCACTAATAGGGTAAATCTGCATAAGATAAAATTCAATTTGATGATTGAATTTTTACTATGTAATGCGACATGTGAGTTTCTCGTTTTTTATGGGTGCGGTTTGTATAGAGCTAGGCTCTCAATAATTGAATTAAAGCCTACCTTTAAATAGTTTCGAGAAATGTGGTTTTAATACTGGAAATCTCTATGATAGCCTTAAAATGTAATTTTATCTTTATTTATAAAGTTTAAAGCTCAAAAAATAGTGTAGATCGACAGATCTATGAGATCTTGAAAATTGACGGTCCAAAAATACGTTACAAAATATGCTATTTCCAAAAGTTGAAATCTATTTTTCTCTCATGTCTATGCATCTTGATGTCGAGATGATCAAATTGAGGATAAACAACCTCTTCTAGTGAACATTTTGAGGTAGGCTCTTATTTGATTGTTTAGAGCCTCAGCTCTATATAAACTTTTCCCATTTTCTATTGACTTTCCTCTCATTGAAATGTAGTTATAAAATATTTGATGTCACTTAAATCAGTTATTCAAAACATAGCGATCCGGATTCGAAATAGCCGTCCATTCCTGGAATCACTAATCAATCTGGTTCTAGGGATCTATCAAACTGGCCTGATCCCCGCCTTAGAGCCCCATTTTCTCTTAAACTTTTTCTTTTTAGCGTTTCTATTATTATTCATTATTCCTTAAAGTTTATAACCCTAAGACCCCTTTTTCTTGACTGCTTTTGTTTTATTGTATTTTATTTTATTTTCTATCTTGCCACATCAGCGATCTGGTGTTAAATGAGAAGAAAACAAAACTTAAAAAAATGATAAAAAGAATCTATAAACATATAAAAAAATCATTTATTTCAGCATAGTGGATAGATCAATCAACATTGGACAAGTAAAACAAACAAGAAACTTTAAAAAAGATCTACACATCTCCTGGGCCCCTAAAATCTTCACATGGCTCCAATCCCCTTCCTTGTCCATAATCCAATCCAATGCACATGGTAACCGGAACTTGACCTATTTTACTCTCACTGGAACACATTATACACTTACTCCCTCAGGCAAAAGAACACTTAGGAGTGCTGTTCCTATTTTAAATATTATGATCCACTTTAGAACTTCCAGATGAGTATTTTCAAAAGAAAATATAGATTTTGAGTTCCTAAGCATGCGTAATGATTGCATGCAACGGTTGTATCATAGTATAATGCAACCACATTTATAGAAAACCATATTTTTTGCATTTGTATAACCCCAAATTTTGCACACATATTTTCTTCATCCTCATAATCAATCTTATGGAAAAAAAAATCAATTTGTACCCTTAATATGATAAAAATTAGTACCTTCCAATAATGAATTTTGACCGTCCAATTGGTGAATTTCAAGATCTAGACCTTGACAAATTCAAAATCACTTTTTTATTTTATAGCATTGTTAATCTAATGATGATAACACTATATACAAATTTTGGGAATAAAAAAATCTTTTTGAGGCCTATATCTAATCTTCTCACTAAAACAGATGGCTTATATTAAGTGGGCTAGAAAAACGCTTTTTAAGGTGTTTTTTTCTAAATTTTATTTTTTGTGATTATTCTATAGAATGAAAATAGTATACAACTAAAAAATTGCGTCAAACAAATATCTCTAGCATGATTTTTTAATGTGGTTGCATTATATCATGATACAACCGTTGCATGAAATCATTGCTCCCTAACCATTGATCTGACTGTCCCAACATGTGGGCAATTATCTATTTAGTACTAAGACTCTTTTTTAAGAAAACCAATTATATAAGGATGAGGCATTAAACAAACAAATTAAGGCGCACTTCAAAAATTTATTAGAGGAGGAAGTTATTTCAATGTCCAAAAATCGATCATCCCGACTTCAAGATGTATAGACATAAGAAAAATTGGATTTCGAGTCTTGGAAGTAGTGCATCTTGTATTGCATTTTTTGGACCGTCAATTTTCAAGATTTTCATAGATCTGCTTGATCTACACTATTTTTTAAGCTTTAAATTTATAATTAGAGATGAACATAAATTTTCAGGCTATTTGAAGGTATGCCTTATTTTGATTGTTTAGGGCATCAGCCTTATACAAAAATCACACTCTTTTTTAAAGTAAAAACACCTATAATTATCGGTGTTGCTTTTGATGTTTTTTTTAAGGCAGGTTGGACTAATAGATTATATTCCCAAAATTATTGGTCCTGTAAATACTCTTGAACAAGATTTACATGAGGAAATGAATGGAAGATATGCTCCTGCTGGAGCATCCATTCATTTGGTTTGAAACTTTGAATCATTTGATTTGAGACTAAAAGCCAAAACATCTGAACAAAGACAAGCAATCAAATCCAAAATGTAACAACTACTTCACATGGAAGGTCTTCCCCTATTGATCGAAAAGCAACATAATTTCTCAATATCTTTTGATAATCGCTTTTAACTTTTCAAATGCATTTACCTATATATCAAACGACCTTTAAGCAACATAATTTCTCAATATCTTTTGTTAAGCGCTTTTAATTTTTCCAATGCATTTACCTATATATCAAACAACCTTTAAGAAATCATTGAGATAGAGAAAACGTCTACACAAGGGAGAGGCCCTAAACAATCAAACTAAGGTACACCTAAAAATTTCATTAAAAGAAGTTGTTTCGATGCCCAAAAATTCCTCAAGTTGATTATCTTGACCTCAAGATGTATAGACATGAGAAAAAATAGATTTCAAGTTTTGGAAATGGTACATATTGTGATACATTTTCGGACCATCAATTTTCAAGTTTTTTATGTGTTCATAGATATGCTAGATCTACGTGATTTTTTATGCTTTAAATTTTATAATTAGAAATGAAAATAAATTTTCAAGTCATCACAAAG